TGACGAAATGATAGGGAAAATCGCACAGTATACCACATTCGGTACAATGAACCTGAAGAGTGAAGCGCATCAGAACTAGCGTGATCAGACCTGATGCAGTTAGAACAATAGTCTGTAATTTTGTACTGAACTACGGCACTGGTAGCTCACTGCTTTGTGGTCAATTTGGATCAACTAAAACAGTATGTGGCCGTCCGACGAGAGTCTAAATTTGGTGCTAGATAAAAACAACCGATGGTTCGGGTAGAACTGAATTAGCCGATCACTGTAGTCTGTTTATCCCCCCCCCTTCCCAGACGGGCTCTAGTTACACTCAGTTATCGAAGGTACGCGTTAAAATCACCTGTCAACACCGTAATATTAGAGCTGCGGCTCAAACGAAAGAGTTCGTCGTAAAATTCGTCCTTTTATAAATTAAGACTACAGTTGGTTGGTGCATAAACAAAAATCATGAATAAACACATTTTAGTGTAGCTTCCCTTCTGAATCCTGAAGCCTTACTGCGCACAAACGATTACTAACGAGTATCCAGTCTATCAGTGAGGTGGCAGCTTTATCGTTTAGTAGGATTTCTACACCACGCTGACCCAGTGAGCGGGCCGCGTCTCTTGATGTGCGAAGGAAATAACTTGAGGACAAACGCGGCGCACTGAAGTGGCTTATAGTACTAAGACCCTGAATTCGTGTCTTTGATACGCAGCAGACATCAATTTCAAAGAGTTTGTTGTACGCGCAAGACACGCTTGTACCCGAGTCCTCAAGTTGAAGGTCCCCAGATTCAAAGGTGGACAAGGCTTCAGAATCTGCAAGCTTTTTTGCGGTAAACTGCTTCTAGTGCTATTTGCTAACAAGCATCGGTGATTGGCAATTAAGTTGTCTGATGGAATGTCGGAGGGTGTGAAGAGATAGGGTTGGGTACAGCAGACAAAAAGTTAAACAAAGGTCGGGAAATCTGAGCAGTAACCCACTTATCCTTAACCACCCCGCTCGATGCAACGGGCAGCGGCAGTCCTCACTGCTTTGCGCGACGGCTGATGCAATATGGAATTATTTCAAGTTTGTGTTCAACCAGAGACTCTAGTTCTGACAAGAACCTGATCGCAAAGGAGTAGATAGGGCAGAGTGGAGGCCCACTTACTCGAAGCAATTACTCCCCCCGTGTTTTCACCAACTGAGACGCCAACTCCAGTCGAGCCTCCAAACTGGAGGACCAAGAGACCGGACATTGTCTGACCTATATCCTTTAACTTTCAGACCTGATAAGGTCTTGGGTTTAACAAAAATCCTGTGCAGCGTGTCAGGTTTCAGAGGTGCACAATTTATCACACCATCGTCAGTGCAGCCTTAACTCTCACTATTTACTTAGTATTGTACATAAAGCCCTAGAAAATGGTGAAAGCATTTAAATTAATCCGCAGAACAAAAAATTCCAGAAGTAGCTGATGAGAAATAATACCTAGTCCGTTTCTCGATTGGCAGTACGTGGATTGGACAATCGAGTTGAGTGTTGAATTAAATTAGATTATCTCACTAGACACGATATTGAAGCGCCGAATAAAAAAACAGACGCCATCTCGGGAGGAACTCACCTTCTTCGGTAGCATATACACACCAACCGGATACGCTCCCGGTTTCGTCCATAGTTCTATTTGTGCGTACACCTGATTGGTAAACGAAGTGGACATCACAAAGCTAGAATGACCGTGAGCACAGCCCAAGTTTACTAGACGACCCTCAGCGAGAACTATAACATGGCGACCATTCTTCAACGTGTACCGATCAACCTGAAAGAAAGAGTATTAAAAATTTGAAAAACGGGTTTTACTTGAGGTTTGATCTGCTCTTTGTGGACACAATTTTCGTTCAGCCAACGGACATCGATTTCAACGTCGAAATGACCGATATTGCACAAAATGGAATCCTCGAGCATGTTGAGGAAGTGTTCCGCTGTGATTATATCCCGATTTCCGGTGGCCGTCACAAAAATACGCGCATGTTTGACGGCTTCATCCACAGTTGTTACTTCAAAGCCTTCCATAGCTGCCTGTGGACGAAGAAAATCACCATTGTTTGACGGGAATCGAGTATATTAACAAACACCGGCAACGTCATCATCATCCTACAGGGAGATTCAGCGAACTGAACCTCGATGATCGCTGCCAAGCTCTCGATGTGCACAAAGTGAGAAAGTTTGGAATTAATCGGAGGGTAGAAAAAAACGAACCCCTATGATAGAAACAGAACACAACCTAAATGTGCATACACGTCCTTTCAAACATTCTGACCTGGTAAGAAATGAAAATAACAAAACTGTTGTTGGTTGATTGTCATATTCTTCAATCTCCAACCAACCAAACAACAAGATATCATTGACTGCATTTACCTTCAACTTTGTACACTAATAAAAAGCTTTCTTCAATCACTAAAACTTTCTACTTGTAGAATACAATGGGTCTTAATAACTTTCGCGTTCTGGAACGGTACCTGAAGGGCGTTGATCGGGTCGATTTCGGACACCAGGACACGTGCGCCATATGACCTCAGGGATTGACAGCATCCTTTGCCAACATCGCCGTAACCGGCAACGAAGGCTACTTTGCCTGCAAGCATGACGTCTGTTGCGCGCTTGATTCCATCGGCTAATGATTCACGACAGCCATAATGGTTATCGAATTTGCTCTGAAATCACGTCATTATAACAGATGAGTATACCCACCTTTGTAACAGAATCATTGACGTTCATGGCCGGAACCTTTAACGTACCGTTTTTGAGCATCTTATAGAGATTGTGCACGCCTGTTGTGGTTTGCTCAGAGAGGCCACGTATGCCAGGAAGTAATTCAGGATGTTTTTCGTGTACGTGCTTTGTAAGGTCACCACCATCATCAAGGATCATGTTCAGTGGTTCCCCATCAGGAAAAAATAGGGTCTTAAGAAAGTATGTGAGTGGATCAAAACAAGTACCTGTTCAATGCACCAAAGATACTCTTCCTCCGTTTCACCCTTCCAGGCATAAACGGGTACACCGGACTTCGCAACTGCAGCCGCTGCGTGATCTTGGGTACTGAAGATGTTGCACGAAGACCACTGAACCTGTGCACCAAGTTCAATCAAGGTTTCGATCAGGACAGCCGTTTGAACTGTCATGTGCAGGCAACCAGAAATACGTGCACCCTGAAGTGGTTTAACCGGGCCAAGCTCTCTTCGTAACCACATGAGTCCAGGCATTTCATTCTGAGCGACCTCAATCGTCTTTCTTCCCCATTCCGCGAGAGAAATATCAGCTGAAAGCTTCTTTAGTTTGAAGCCAGAATACTTACCGACTTTATAGGGTGGCTTCGACATTATTTCCTACAACCAAAGATATTAGGAAGGACAGTGTTGAACACGAACGGGATGTCACTGAAAGGAACAAAAGTGCAAAAACCAGGGAACGGGATATATATATCTATCTAACACCAATCTTTACAGATACGACGCCAAATAACCATGATAAACGAAAAAAAATACAGGTACAAAAGCGGGGAAAATAAAACTCAACTTCGAGGAGCAACAACTTTTGTTTGTTTGTTTACTGCACGTCACTTTGAGGTTTCTTTTCTTTTTTTTATTTTTGGGATTGCAGACAGGAGAGGACGCATTCGCGCTACTGATTTCGATTCCATGCCATACCCACAATATCTCTGGCCAAAGACAATCTGAATCTTTGGGGCCCCAGCCGCGGAGCGGAGAAACCCCCAACGGAAGCCAAATCCGAGCACAATCTCTTTAACACTCTGAGCCACGTCATAGCCTGCCCATGTCTGCGAATAGTGCATGGTGTGGCAGACGGTGCTCAGGCATTCGTAGGACGTGACCTAGCCACCTAAGACGATGCTGTGAAATTATTTTGCTCAAAGGAAGACTATCTGGTCCTAGCACCCGTTGTCTGACTTCATCGTTATTCACGCGATGCTCCCACCATACGCGGGCAGTGTTGCGCAGACGACTGTCGTTTTATGGTCGCTGGACGTGATCTGCTCGAAGAGGCCAGGTCTCGCAGCCATAAAGCAACACGGTGCGTACCGTTGGGCAATACGCAGACCCTTTCGGTGAAAGGGATATGTCGCGCCGGCGCCAGAGATGCCGCAGATTAGTAAACGCTA